GGAATGATTTCTGTTGTCCAGGGGAATTTATCTAGGATTACCATATCTCAAAAATAAAAAAAGAGGACCCTCCACGGGCCCTGGCCCCGCCCCAACTCCGCCCCTTCCCCACCCTAACTCCGCCCCCTCCTCCCTTCCACTCCCAGCCAGGGGGAAAGGGCTGCCCCAGTGCTACCGGCTTCAGGGTTTACTGGGCAGCCCCTATGCCTCCGGACCCTGCGCCGCCGGAGCCCGGGCGGGGAAGTGCCCGGCTGGGGGCGCAGGGTCTGGAGGCATAGGGGCTGCCCGAAGCTGGTAGCTCTCGGGCAGCCCAGCTCTTAAACAGAGCCGAAGAGTCGGGGAGGAGCAGAGCTGCCATTTTCCCGGACATGTTCGGCTTTTTGGCAATTCCCCCCAGACGGGGGTTTGAGTGCCGAAAAGCCGGACATGTCCGGGAAAAAGAGGACGTATGGTAACCCTAATTTATCCAAAGGAGGATGAAGGGAATAAGTTTTCTATTACATCCACTCACTATTGCTGTGGTTCAATCTATTCTATCTGTTCATTAGTTCACAATATTAAACATATGTAAAATGAAGGATTTCATTTTCAGCAGGGTGTGGGGTGGATGAAATTCCACAACTCCCTTCAGGACCAGCCTTGGATCTAGGGTTGCCAACTTTCTAATTGCACAAAACCGAACACCCTTGCCCCGCCCCTTCTGAGGCCCTGCCCCCCACTCACTCCAGCCCCCTTCCCTCCGTCACTCATTCTCCCCCACCCACCTTCACTCACTTTCACTGCGCTTGGGCATTGGGTTGGGTGCGGGAGGGGTGAGGGCTGCAGCTGGGGTTGTGGGCTCTGGGGTGGGGCTGGGGATGAGGGGTTCCAGGTGTTGGAGGAGGCTCAGGACTGGGGCAGGGGGTTGGAGTGCAGGAAGGGGTGCGGGCTCTGGGAGGGAGTTTGAGTGCCGGAGGGGGTTCTGACCTGGGGCAGGGGTTTGAGGTGCAGGAGGGGGATTGGGGTACGGGCTCTGGCCGGTCAGCGTTTACCTCGGGCGGCGGTGCAGGAGGCTAAGGCAGGCTCCCTGTGGCTCCCGGGAGCGGCCGGCATGTCCCCGCCTGCAGGCACCGCCCCTGCAGTTCCCATTGGCCGTGGTTCCCGGTCAATGGAGCTGCGGAGCCGGTGCTTGGGGCAGCGCGTGGAACTTCCCTGACCTGGCGGCCACTTCTGGGGAGCTGCACAAAGCCAGGGCAGGCAGGGAGCCTGCCTTAGCCCTGCTGTGCTGTCGACCGGACTTTTAACGACCCGGTCAGCGGTGCTGACTGGAGCCGCCAGGGTCCCTTTTCGACCGGGCATTCCGATCGAAAACTGGGTGCCTGGCAACCCTATTTGGATCTTTTAGTGTCCCAAGTGAGGCTAGTATTATAGACACTATCACCGGCTTGCTGGCCCTTTAAGGGCAGTCACACTCAGCCTTGCCTGTGAGCCAGCAGTTAGTCCCCAGCTGATCCTGCAGTGGGTGGCTTAATTAACATTAGTGCCCTGGGCTGTGGAAGGGTCAGGGTGCACTACAGAGAGAGGAGAGCTCATTCAAGAGAAGATGACTCAGCAGATAGGAGTACTCCAGGGGGAGGAAATAGGGCCTGGTGAAGTCAGGCTGGAGAGAACTGCAGAGAGCAGGTGAGGCTCCTGGGGGTGATCCTGAGGTGAAAGCTGTGTGAAGCCGGGAGATCCTTGGCAGAAGCTGTCCATGCCTAAGGAGGGAAGATAATGAAGAAAGCTGCTAAGAAGGGCCCCTGGGGAAAAGCCCTGGGATGCAGGGCTCAGTCAAAAGAGCAAAAGTGGAATGCTGCCTGGGAGCAGGGAACTTCAGTATGGCCTGAGGGGCAGGAGGGTCATTTGTTTTGCTGTTTGTTTAAGTTTGTTAGTTGGCCTCTCCTTATGTGGGAAGAGGACTGAACTTAAATGTGACCTGGCTGCAGGGCTAGGCTCCTGAAGATAGATAGAGAGGCCACTGTGTGGCCTAAGAAGTGGTCACCCCGAGGTGCTAGCCATGTAGATCCCTGCAATACCATGACCTAATACCAAGAGATGCTACAGTGGTGAGTGGAACCACTTGCAGATGCGCACCTAGGGTCAGAGATCAAGGTGACACCTGTGAATATTTGCTGCTGCTGTACATTTCATGTGCTCCTAAAACTGCTCCACACGTCTTCCCAAGCGCTAAGCTAACTGCACAGCCACAGAAACCACCCAGTTCCAATCAGACAAATAAGGCTTAAACCAGAATAGGAGCCTTTTTTACTGGGTCTTTGTGGAAGGGGTTAGTTTAGATATGTTCCTTTTGCTTAACATTATCACAACCCCAACAAAGGAAACAATACTCTCTCTTCCTCCTTAAGCCCTTATGAATATCTGTGGTGGCAAAAATGAGACACGTGGTTCTTCACTAATGCAACTCCACTGGCGGCAGCAATGGTGGAAATGGTAGCGTAGACAGGGCTCTGAATCTTTTACTACCATGTCAGTGATATGATAGGACTCAGGAGTTTTTACTATCTACCCTCTGTCACCTGGTGAATTGTCTCTCCCCCCCCTGCTGCCGCTGCACCAGTTTAGACAAAGCCTTAAAGTAAACCCCTCAAGAACTAGCATGGGGGTGGGGGGGGAAGGATTAGTGGTCTCATACTTACACCTCAATGTTGAGTTGTAGGAGTAGACTTATTTTACTTATCTCTCTTCTCCTCTGTCCCACCCACAGCTACAGTTCATTTCTTTAAAGTTACCCTTCCTGCTTCCCCTGTCCTCCATACCAGTGGCTCTCAACCATTCCAGACTACTGTACCCCTTTCAGGAGGCTAATTTGACATAAATCAGACATAAAATACAAAAGTGTCACAGCACACTAGTACTGACAAATTGCTTACTTTCTTATTTTTACCATATCATTATAAAATACATTGATTGGAATATAAATATTGTACTTGTATTTCAGTGCAGTATTTGTGCCTGTTTTTCACTCGTGAGCCTTGTCTGAAGTCAGAGCCCCAGCTGGCGGGGTTGAAGCATGTAACTTAGCTGCATGGGGCCCCAGGCAGTTGCTCTGCTTGCCACCCCCTAATGCCAGCCCTGCACTTGTGACCCACTCCCAAACTTGTCCTGTGACCCTCCCAGGGGTCACAACCCCCAGGTTGAGAAACACTTATCTAGATGAGTTGATGTACCCCTGGTTGAGGACCAGGACTGTATGTCAAAGGCTGAAAGAGGGGGTTGCTAGTCTCTGCTCTCCTTTCTTCAGCTGGCAGGCAGTTTAAGCATAGAGGTGCCCTGACCTTTGTGCTAATTCTGCTGTGCTCCTAGCCTGAGCCTCCTATTGTTTCTCAGAGTGAGCTGACTAAGGCAGGCGTCAGCAGCAGGGGAAGAGAGGGGTTTTCAGCCTGGAGGCCGTAGGGTTGGACTTGCTCCATCCCGGAGCCTTGACTCAGCTGCTTCTATTCTAGTCATAGATTGTCGCTGCTTCCTAGCATAGCATCTCCTGCAGACCATCCTGAATGACAGGGGACTGGCCATTCTTTGCTGCAGAATATCTCAAGAGGAACCAGTCTATTAAGAGTTAAAGCTGGGTGATGATGGCCTGATTAGACTCACCTGAGGGCCCTTCCTTCATGCTGGAGATCTCAGAAAACCTCTACAGGGTGGGGCAGTTTTGTCACTCTTCTTTTCAAAGAAGGTTAGCTGGGACCTTAAAAAAAAAAAAAAAAAAAAAAAATTCGTCTTGCCCACTGTCCCATGATGATGGTGTGTTTTCTTGTTGCCTTATGGGGAGGATAAGTGGATCGTGGGTGTGGCTGAGAGTTTTCTGAATTAATTCCTTCCCTGCACCTGTCCTGTTGTTTTAGCTATCTACTTGGCACAGGGCTTGTCTCAGACTTCTTAGTAGTATGCACCACATGTTAATAATGAGTTTGTCTTTGTGGCTGCCTCCCCTCCCATTAGTAATTGCTACAGCACTTCCTTGTGTGACAAAATATTACGAAAACTTGGCTTTTTTTTTTCCCCCTCCTCTCAATAAATGAATCTTAGCAACTGGAAGCCGGTTCCAGCTGACCAGCCTGCTCTCTGCAGTCCAGCAGTGCTGCCGTCTATTGGTCACAAGTAGTGTGCCTCTGACTTATGTGAGTTGCCTCTAAGACCCTACAGTAGATGCCCTCCATCTGACACGTGGTTGTATAGACCATTGGTAGCACTAGGTTAAAAACTGTGAATGTTAAACTCTTGTGACCCAAGTCTGGCTGAGCTGTGCTTAGCCCAGGACCCCAAGAGGGAAGGTGCCTTTTATGTCACCTTTGCTGCTTCCTCATGCAGGGGCCAGTTCAGCCCTAGTGAAACCTGACTGCCTGTAGTCCCATGTACAGATACCGTGGCCATGCCCCTTTTTTCTCTACTCATACCAGAGGAAGAAGGATGCTTTCACAGGAACTGCTGCAGTGTCCCGTCCCCCCGCCTAAATATTCCACTTGCACAGGAGGGACTTGCTGTTGGCTGGGTGTTCCACCTCTGTGCACAGGGGCTGTAGCAGAAGGAGAATAGGCCCTTTGGGGCAAATTAAAACTGCTGGAAGGGCATGTAACTCTACTGAAGTCAATCAGTCCGCACCTGCTTGCAACAGTTCTGAGGCCTGGCTCTTTTTTCAATGCAGCATCTTGCTTAGGGCCTGATTTCCCCCAAACTCGCTGAAGTCAATGGAACCCCCCCCACTGACTTCAGTGGGTTTTAGAACAGACCCTTAGTGACCTTTCAAATGTCATTTCCTTGAGTAACATAGGTGCAGGCTAAAGAACCCAATAAATGGGGAGGCTTTTACTTAAACCAAGCCTGCTTATTCTTCTGAGTTGTTGCAGCTCTAGTTGATTTGCTTCCACTTAAAAGCCCCATAGGACTTCTTTCTCATAGATATGAATATAAAAAGCTAGAAAACAAGGAGCCTGGTAATGCAAGCCATCTGTATCTTAAGCATGGGTAAATCATCCATCACTTGAATAGCTAGTCTAATTTCACTGTGCTCCTGTTAGTTTTCTTCTGAAGCTCAAGCTTTGTGTAAAGAGAAGCAAGGTCTTGACCGCTTTGTCTACATGAGAAAGTTTCACTGGTTTAACTGTAGGATTGATTTTTAAGCTGATTTAGTTAAAACAGTGGAAATGTTCTTAAACCAACATAAATGTCCACACAGGGGTTTGCAACTGCTTCACTAAATTGTATTAAAATAATACCGTTAGTTAAACCAGTGCGATGTTCTTGTTTAAATCAGGCCTAAGAGGGAACTTGTTAGAGTGTAAACCTCTAGGGGCAGGGACTGTCTTTTTGCTCTCTTTGTACAATGCCTAGCACAATGCGGCCCTGGTCCATGACCCGGGTTCCTAGGCGCTATGGATATATGTAATAAAGCAGGATTTACAATGAATGATTTCCAGTTACTCTGTCACATCTAAGGGTTGTAAGATGACACTAACTAGCTTATGGTATTAAGCCCCTTACTCCTTCTCTTCTTTTTGATAGATGTTTTTTAACAGTGTAAGATGGAGCAACACTTCCTTCATTTCAGTCTTATAAAGTGTTGTGTTTTGTTTTTTAACCTGCATTTGAAAAACTACCAAAATGTGGTGGGGTTTTCAGTGAAGAGTAATTTGCACAACAGTTATAAAGGCCAGTCAGGTCTTGTTACTAACCCTAAACTTCTGAAGGGAAACTGTTTATTTTAATTTAAAACATGGAAAAGTATTTTCCAGCAGCCCTAGGCAACTTTTACAGCAATTAAAATATTGCACCATATAAAAATTGCAATTCTAGAAGCTAATTAAATTAGCCTAACCCAGCAATAAAACTGAGTCAGACAGCTTGACAATTAAACATGCAAACAAATACCCACAGCTTTCCCAAATGCCTGAAAAAACACGTGGGCCTTGTATCATGGCCTGGAGATCGATAGATTCAGATTATTTCATACTGTGGCGGGGGGGGGGGTGTGCAAATTCCAGAGCTGTGTGGGCTCTTCATGCCCCATGTTGACAATAGGAAAATAATTTCTTTTAAAACATACAATCTATTTTCCTAATCTGACATGGATACAAGAACAGCCCGTCAGCAACCTTCCCTTCAGTTAACCCAGGGGAACTCCCCTGAGAACTTTTGCTGATTAGAACTGTCAGAGTAACAGGAAGAAAAATAATTCTTTAGGTAGATATGTTCCAGGCCATGTTTGACCCAGAAATCAATAAGCAGCCATTGGATGGTGGGTCAGCAGATCATAGAGAGCTGGTATAGTGTGCTCCTAGTATGATGTATCAGTTTTGGTCACATTTGATACCTTATCATCTAAAACAATGGTTTTTCACCCAGAACCCAAAATTTAGCTGTGGCTTTTTGCAGCAATACACCCAAATGCTTTGGCTGCAGATGATTGGGGGTGGGGGTTAGGGTCTGGGTGAGAAATGAGAGTTGGCTTGGGGGTACTGGGTGGGTTCAGTTGGTGGGGCTTGTTGCATACTGGTAGGATGCTGGGGTGGGGTGGACCTGGGAAGGGTGGCCCTGTCATGAGCCATCTTTGTGTTGTGCCTCCCTGGTTACAAAGTCCTGATCTACAGTCAGCTGTGGCTCTAATAGAACCTCTAAAGTAAACTGAACTCAAGTAATGGACAGTGGGCGCACACTGCCCTTAAGAGGGCTGATATCTTTGCCAACTCTTCCTCTCAGCTCCCTCAGTCTGCCACGCTGCTGAGCAATGCTGGTTTACAATGAGATTCTTCCACGCAGTGTGGTGGTGAAACTGAACAAACTTCTACTCTATAAGACACTGACACTTTCAAAAGGGTTAACCAGAAACCCTAGTAGTTGGACTAAGAGAACCAAGAAGGGAATTGCCGGGCCTCATTTAGTGCAATTCTTTGTGGGTTATTAATTAGTCCCTTCAGGATTTTCTTGAGTTGTTTGGCTTTTAAGAGAAAGTAGAATTGTCTGATCATTGTTGCTCAAACTTAAAAAAAACTCTTTTGCTTAGTGACCTACTCCTGTAAACCATGACACTAAAGTTAGGAGAGACATGCCAAACTTCTACTATCCCATTAAAAGAAGCTGCAAAAATTATGGTTTTTCATGGCAAACACCCTTTGCCTGGGTAATGCCAACAGACCTGGGTCCTCGGTGAGCGGTATTGAACCTGTAATTTCTGGAGCTTAGTGCATGAGCCTCTACTGCATGAGCTAAAGCCAACTGACTGTTAGTTAAGGCTGCAGCGTAGACTTGTTAATGTTTCTCTCTAAGTGGTCTCGATGCCACTAGATGGGGCAGAACACCACAACCAGAAGGTGGGTTACACTTGTCTTAACCAACACAATCCTCTTACCTTAGTGCTTGGCTTTCAGGGCACTCACCGGTGAACGTACAAATAGAACTCCAGATCTGGCTTCTCTGAGAGAGCCCTGATGATTCAGCACTCCATACTGAAACTTGGCAATATTCCCAGCCTGCTCTTAAGCATGGGAAACCTGTAAATTGAATGAAAGGTCATTCACTGCGGCTCATTCAATGAGATTTTTCCCAGATGTGTCTCAAGTCGACAAAGACACTGGCCAAAATCCATAAAGGTATAAGTCTTTCTGATCTTAAATCACTTTGTTGGTTTTTGGTTTTGGATTGTTTTTTTTTTTTAAGTCACAGAAGCATATGAAGTTAACTCTAATCTGAAGGTAAATTTCTGGGAATTTCCAGGCTTTGGCCAGGGCTTTGGCAGCTGCTGCTTATTAATTTTATCTACGGCATAGTTCAGCTTCTCCGCAAATGAGAGCCTGGTAGGATTATCTGCTGTATTTTCTTTGATGCTTCCAAAGTGAAGCACTGCTATTTCTCATGCTGCATGCTGTCAAATGTGACTAGGTCACCCAAAGTGAAAGGCCAGCCACAGTCTGTGCGCTGTCTTCAGATACACTGTAGCAGAGCTTGGGCCCTCTGTGGGATGGAGGAGTAAAGGTGATGTATGCCACCTTTCTGCCCTCCCCTCAATCCTGGAGGCTGTTTGGCCTCTGACATAATCTACAACAATCTCAGGGCTGTTCAGAATTGCTGTGGTTTGTGATAGCCTTGTAGAGGGTTGTCATGCCAGCTGGGTATCCCCAGAATATAGCATACTCTGGGCATGCTTGCTCCTTTCCTCAGCACACCCCTAATGTGTCCCTATACTGGGAAGGAAGGGGGTTGGTGGTGTTGGCTCTATGCTTGCTGAGATTTCTCCATGCTGTAGGAATCCCCAGTTGCCCATTTAGAGCAGCTTTAAATCCTCTTAGCACAGACTGCAATCTGGCTCTGAAAGGTCACTATAAGGAAGAATATTTCAGACATCAGTGTGCTGTTTGAAACTGACAAAGGGATCACTTTGAAAGGATATAGGAATGATGTGAAATCACAAATTCTAGCCACAAGTTAAACTCTGCAGAAGTTCCAAAGCCCTTAGCTGCTTTGTTCTACACACATGAGTGACTTTGATAGGATTGTGCAGAACTGACATTTGCCCCCCTACAAAAAAAAAAAAAAGAAACCTCCCCGATCAGATTAAATTTTCCCCCTCCTCACAACCTGTATTCCACCTCTCCACACACAGCTCCTAAAAAGCTAGGTAAAATAGATGAACCTTGCAGTTTGCCCTCAGAGTAACACAGTCTGGGAGCACCAGACAAAGGAGAGGAGGAAACAAATTCACAGGGACTCTTCTGGCCTTGCTCTTTGATTTCTGAATAAGGTTTCATCCTATTAATTGTCTCTGGCCAGGTTTGAAAAATGGAGAGGGTCTAGGTGGCTTAGGGAACTAATAAGGATGCTACTTCTCACTACTACGCAAAATGGTTCGAAGCCAGCCAAGCTGTTACAATCTTATGGCTGGTTAGTGGTCTTTATGAAATGGTTGGTCTGAGTTCAGTTTTCAGTGGGCCATGAAATCCACTTCAAGCGCCACCAGTGTGGCTGATCTCAGGTCAGAGACAAATGCATGAATGGGAATGGAGACTGAACTACTTTCTTCTCCTGTGAAGGTCCCTCTAGGGAAGGTTTGAGGCACGCTGTTATGAGAGTACATAAAGAAGCTTGCACTGTGGCTGCCTGTGGTGAACCTCTTCTGGACTTCAGACTCCAGGACAATCAATCCTATGCCTCTCACAAGCCCTCCATTCTACAGAATGTTTACATCCCATATTTTAAAAATGGGATCTGTTCATAGCACATGTGCACCAGAGGTAGCAGTTACACTTTTTAGTAAATAACTCCCTGTTTCTCCAATCTGTTGCAGAAAGAAGACAAGAAGGGGCCACCTTCTCTTCAGACCTGCAGGGAGAAACTGCTTGTGACTTGGTGACCGCCTTTGTGTGACAGGTTAGTGTGTCATTAAACACAACAATTGGTGTATTTCTCCTGGCGTCAATTATTCTGGGTTTCTGAAAGCCCAGAGTCCTTAATATCACATGAAGAGTCCTGAAAATCCATCCTACAAACAGAATCCCAAGAAGTATGTTCTGTCCATGCGTTGCTTTGTGCCTGTAGGACTAGACTTATTTCCAGAGTCTAGTGACATGTGATGGTCTCCTGCCCTTTTGTGAAACTTTAAAGGAAGTCAGAAGAAGACTTTGTTCCTTATTGTGGTCTCTCTCTGACAGCCAGAAAGGAACTTGTTTTTTCTTCTGATTCCCTTTTCTTCCCCTGAAAGTTTCTGCGGCCCCTGCCTTGTCATTTTCAAACTTCTTTGTGTGCTGGAGGAATGAAATGAATAGCAGGAAAGATCGTTGAAAGGGTTTTGATTTTTATCTGAAAAGCTCATGGCTTAAAAAACTGAACCGGAAATCTCTAAGGACTTAATCTGAGCAGGGACAAATGCCAATTGCTGGTATCGATGTGACTGACTGGTTTCAAAAGCAGCTGCAGCTTCAAATTTATTTACTGGGTTCTAACAAGTTTTCTAAAACAATGCAAAGAGCTGCTGGTCTCTAGGAGTTAGCAGCAAGATGTAGAAACCAGTGTAGGGGGCAGTCGTGTGGAATTAAGGGCTATCTCATGTTCTGGATAGGTTGTTTTTGTTTTAGGAAGACACTGTCTAAATCAGTACGGAATTTCTTTTAAAAATATCAGTTACGTAATATGGACTTATCCATGTACTTAACTTAATGGATGTTGGGAGCCCCATGGAGTTCAATAGGAATACTTAATTTTATATATGTAAGCACATACATACATATTTGTGGGATCAAGGCCTTAGAGATTTAACCCTTAGGCCAAGATTTTCAAATTTGAGTGACTAAAGTTAACAATTGGGTTGATTTCTAAGAGATGCTGGGCTGTCACAATTCTGATCAGTGTCAATGGGAACAGAGAGCCGAACACTTCTGAAAATCAGGCATCTTTTTGGATGCCTAAAATTAGGCATATTTGAAAAGCGTGGCCTTCTCCTTTTAAAGTGTGTGTGCTTGCAGCATTTCTTTTCTCTGTCATGAGTTTTCCTGCTGTAAGGAAGGGGTAACCACAGTAGGCCATATGGGAGTAGGGAGGGAGTTACCAGCCCAGATTCAAATCCACTTGATATCTTTTTCATTCGCCAGTACCTGCCACTAGCATTTCTGTGTTAGACATATAGAGATTGGTCGTCCAAAGGGATTTCAAAAACGCCTCTCATAGATTTCGCTCCATTTTTAATTGTCTAAAACATGTGACAAGTGACATGACTAACAGTAGCTGGTTCTTCAAGTTGGCACAGATGAAAACTGAATCAGGATGCCTGAACTGGAGGTTCTTAGCTCTATCCTTGTCTGTTGTCACATGCTTAGCTGTAATCTTGAATGTCTCCTGGGACACTCAGTTTTTTCCAGTAACTATAGTTTGTCCTAGTGATATTTCTGTCACCTAGGTTGGCTGCTCCTGTGTGCAATAATTTAATTCAGTCGCACATGTAAGGTGGGGGAGGCGCATGAGAGTAAGGGTCGGGTCTCCAAAAAGCTTATATGTTGGCTCAGCTCCCTATAACAAGAGGCCAGCTATCAGTTTCAGAGCTGGATCTCAGAGCTCATGAGTGTTTTGATCTTGGGTTTAGTTAAGTGCTGTACCACTAAATTATTGAAGGCCCAGATTCTATAAACATTTCAGCGCATACCTTATACTTTACTGACCTGAATATCCCCATTGAAGTGAATAGAACTACTTGCATGAGTCCAGTTACACACCTGATTAAGTGCTTACATAATAAGAGCTGTACTTTGTACGTCTGAAGGTGACAAGCACACAGCTGATTTTTTTTTTAAATTCTCTTTTGCTCACATTTGATGACAGCTTCTTAAAACTTTATGAATTAGACTATTTTCCTCACTCGTGTATCTTTATCTTGTGTACACAATGATTTGCTATTGTAAAGTTGAGTTATATTGACACTAATATTAGTGTGTGTTGCGTAAAGAAATTAACTGAAGAAAAATGAACTATTTTGGGGGGTGGGGGTGTTCTGGGGAAGTAACCACATCCTGCAAAGGGAATTAATTACACGGATACTGCAAAACCTTGTAGAGAAATCAACTGGAGGAGTCAAATTTTGTGCCCATATCGTGTTTCTTTTTAAACCTTTTATTCACTTAGGAATAAATATCTACAGTCACAGCAGTGTAAGTCTGGAGTAGCTGCACTGCAGTCAATGGAATTACTCCAGAGTTACATGAGTGTGACAGAGAAGAATCAACCCCCAAGCAAGTGAAACAGCTGCCTCTAAACACAATACCTGTATAACCAATTAATCCCAATTGTGAGCATTTCTACTCAACTTCAGCTTTTTAAAAATGTCAAATTGTCAGCTTCTAATTATTGTAATTAGCTTGCAGATTTCTTGAGGTGCTGTGATTGAAGACTGGCTCTTTAAATTTTCTGTTAATTAGTAAATAATGTTTATTTAATTCATTCAAATGTAAGTTTTCAGTCAGGCTTGATGCTAAAATTAGCTGCTGGACTACAAAATCCCCTCAACAAATGTCACCAGTCCAGACACACAAAGAGGGGGGGGAGAAAAAACCCCTCCCTTGTACTCTGAAATCCATATCTTACACTTTTTTTTTTTTAAAAACATGGTCAAAGGGAAATTCTCTGGGAATTTCCCAGGAAGTGGAAGGGAAACTTTATTTATGAAACTCATGACACACTGCTTTCAAGCTGACCAAAGTCTAGGCCATGGAATATTTTGTTAGCTTTTTTTTATATGAAACTGAATGGATAATGGCTGGGAGGAAGTGTGCCATGCTCCTCTGGAGATTTTCACTCCCTTGAACTGCAACAAAGTTCCAATCCTGGGCTTCCTTCCGCAAAAACAAAGCAGTGACAAATTCTTGTTGCTTCTTTTGCCAAGTGGGTAGCCAATTTGGGGGCTTTGCAGTGGGATAGCTTCTTTTTTGAGGAGCAATTAGTCACACAAATTCCCCATGTCTTTTCTCCTAGCCTAATTTTAGTTACAGAATGTACACAAAGTCCTATTACC